GTGATTAAGTCTCCGCTACTCTATTATGCACAAGCGAAATAGACGGAGCCTTATCAATGATGGAGGGAAACGGCGGTAAGTTCCTATTCTAAAACAAAATAATTGATTTGTTTTCTCTGTCTTTTTCATTAAAGCCCATAAACTTCTGATATAATTCGTTGGAAGTCTTAAGTGTTTATTTGGACTCCAAGAGTCTTGTCTAAGTGAGCAATCTCAAATGTGATATCGTGTTCAGCTAAAATATCTGTTTGTGCGGGACCGAGCTTCTAGTTCCTGCATACACAAGCTTTTAACTTAATTTTACCATCATGAAAATGAATGTAAATCACGGTAACGAGTTAATTTACGATAGATCGTCTATAAAGCTTAGTTTAGAAATAAGCGAGAACTTATGCTTTCTTTATTTTTCTATAGTTTGTTCATCGCTTGTTGTACGCTTCAATAAAGATGGTGCGATATGTTTGTCACGCATTGCTTCAAAACATTTCTTAAGCTAAGCTTAAAAATCACTAAAGTTTTCGCCTGTGTCTACCTCCTATCAGTTAAGTGGAAGTTAGACCTGCTGAGTAGCCAAAAATAGTTGTAACGTGTTCATTTGCGTCATCATAAACTGGCAATGCAAGCAATTTAGTTTCTGACAGTAAGCATTTTTTCACACTAAAGAGGAAGTTTATCAGTCGACATTCCTTCAGACCAGGGGTCAAGGGAAAAGTCCCAATTTAGACTTGTCACTATCGTAATCAGTCTAGCCAATTAGAATGAGTTATTAAGTAATAAATTTCGAATAAAGTCAACCATTGCCTCTTTGAATTTGTCAGGAATCTACAGCTATCGGTGATTTTAAAAGAAAACTAAAAAAAAAGCAGATGCATTGCTCAGCAAACGACGATAATCTGATTGGCGAGTTTCACCGGATAATCAGTGGTTTAAATTAGGGTACAATTCTACAATTTTAATTCTAAAATTTATATACTTCACAAATTTAGCCTTAAAGGAAATGATTTTATTATCGGAAAGATCATCATATAGATGTATCGGCGCAGTCAAACTTTGAGATATCGTTTTTCATGAGTTTCCTCTGATGTCCTATTTTAGTGTTAACCGATCCGTGACTTTCGGTACACTCAGCAACAGGTAAACAACATGTAAATGAAGAGAAAGTTATTTCTACTTTAACCACGAAAACCACGAAGCTGGATGGAAAGTTTTTCCGATTGTTTACTCCTACTTGGTATCGTTTCCTAGAATGTTGTCATGAAGCCTAATTCATTCTTCTGTTTGTGCGTAACGCAAAGATGCATTTCTACGATTACTAATAACACCATGAACAGATCCACAACTACACTTAAAATTCTGACGCCGATTAAGACGTGTTCGAGGTACTTCGGTTAAATTTCTTTAATTGCGAGTTCTCAAATGTAAATTCGCCGTAATTAATGAGAAAAATAGCAACCAAAGCACAGACAAGGATGATTTTGAGTCTTCAAAATAGCGCTTTTAAGCGAATTGGAGAAAGGGGCTGGCCAACAATGTTTGAGTTAAGTAATGCAAGCTGTCTTAATCCTCTCAAATTTTGCCCATCCGTAAGTTTTAGCGGGCCTCTAGACTTCTTTCAAGTTTTCTACAATTTCGACCAGTTGCTGTCAATTTTAATTGCCGATTTGATGTTCCTTGAATTGCGTGACCTTACGGCATATTAAGCCAATGAAGTATCAAACCTAAAGAGAGGAAGTCGATTTTAAGTACGCTAAAACACATGCAACAGTTAATCACTAGTGCGGGAAATGTGCAGATGTAAATATAGAATTGAAATGATCCCTTATAGAGTCTTGGGTCCGATGCAATGTAGAGCAAGGAAAGCGAATTATCAATAGAGTGTGGGGATGGAGGTGGAGAAGGGTTTTTGCCTTTGGACTTCTTGCTCTTTTCCACAGGACAATTTCCGCGAAATACGTCCTATTAGCATGAATAGACGAATCGCAAATTATTCCAGATTAGATAGTTAACTTGCGCCCTGAGAACCATTCTTTGGCGTTCTTTCATCCATGCAAATTTCAAAAACTGTTTATCAATTATTTCAGTATTCAGGCAGACTGCTCTTGTACACACCATTTATGTTAACGACGTCACAAAGATATCAGGGAATGGCGCCACAGCTGTGCGACCAGGAGCTCAAGTCAATAATGTTTCGTCACATCCATCAAGGGGTATTTGAGTCACTTAACATGCGACTGTCATTATCAAACTTGCTGATAGAAGTAATTAGCTGAAATTTAATTTATCATGTTCAAGTTGAGACAGTATCATTTACTCTACTCTAACGATAGAGGGGTGCACAGATCACAAGGGGCGTGAATGCAGTCGTAAAATAAAGCTTTTGCATAAATGCTCACGTATCATTCTGGCACCAACAAAATTGAAACATAGGAGGCTTCATGGAGTATGAATATGAATTGCACATGATTCGATACGGTGCTTATTGCCTAATGTTAATTTAGTGGTCACACTACAACTATAAATCTACAGACTTCTACCGGAAAAAATTGTTACCTATAAATTTTCAAAAATTCTTCCAGGTTTAAAATGATCGCATGAAATGATAGCCATTTAATAAGTTTATATATCATTTCGGAGTACCAGCCCCAACAAGTACTGTATACTATGTACTTTTCGCTCTGTACATTAAAACTGGTACCAGGTCGACTAGCACTGAAGACTATATACATTCACCCTGTACATTAAAACTGATACCTGCCTCGACTAACACTGAATACAACTCACCATTTACATCAAAACTGATGTTAATCTGAAATAATTGTTGAAGTTGAAGTAGAAAGCTGATATTCTTACTCATGAAAGCCCTCTGAGCTGAAAAGATATAGGTACTAAGGTCCGCAGGCAAATGACTAGACCGAAAATAGAATAAACTCGTAAAAACTTGAATTTAGATTTTTTTTTCATTTCCAAATTTCTCTATAGGGGATATTCCTCTTCCTCCACGAGATGCGAACGTGAGACAAGGAGGTTCAAGAATTGCTAACATGGAGCGAGAAGAGCAAGCGTATCAGGATACGTACGCATACGAAAGGGCCAGACCAGGAAGAAAATCTTTTTCGTCTGAGAGTAACTCGGGCAGTTATTGCCTTCCCAAGGTCACAGAAGAATATTATCAGCAGAACTTCGGCTCAAAATGGACGCCAAAGCCAATTAAATTTATCCACAGAGTGCAAGGTAAAATTTGAAATAAGCCTTACTAGGTGCACATAATGTAGGAATTCTTTAAACGTTCTGTAGACGAGATTTCAGAATCTCGTTATCGCAGGGCACTGTCCAGTGAGAAAATGTTATTAAGTCGTAATAAAAAGCTGAAACCAAATCACCCCAACGTTGTCTCTTCATTTTCTTTCTTTGCGACTCTCATTTTCTTTTATTTATGTCTAATGAAGTCTATTATAGTGATAATGATGATCCTACCAAAATTTTGGGTTATTTTTGGCTATAAGAGCCACATTATATTTGATTAAAAAAAGTACAAGTATGCCAATTTACCGTTTAGAATACATACATTTTTATTTTCGTTTAAATTAGATCCCGCAGATGAAACTTTGTCCAAAGAATCATTTCTACAAGATGTTGATAAATCTCTGAAAGAATTTGAAAGTTCCGGTGGAAAGCTGAAGAAAGAATTGGAAGAGGTCATACTACTACAAGTCTTGCCTTATCTTGAAGAATCCTGGGGGAAATCGTCTTCACAGAAAATGGACGCGTACGTGATCCTAGCCAAAGTAAGCAGTTGCAGAAGCTGCAGTGAAGTTGTGAGGCATGCCTTGCAGCAGCTTCAGTATCTGCTCTTTAGAGAGAACCTGGACAGTTGCAAGGAGAGCTTACTAAAAGTGGAGAAAATTGTGAGGTCTTCCATTATCTCACCAGACGCGGTCTTCAAAGAAGAAGCAGACTCCGCGCGCGAAGTAAGACTGTCTGTTTACAAGCGCATTCTGTCCCTGATATGCATTTACCAAATTCAGACAGGTTTTTCCACAGTTGACTTCAAAGACGGTTTAAAAAAACTGCAACAAGACCTGAAACACTACTGCACCCAAATCCGCTACAAAAAGAAGAATTACTTCCGTTATTCCATGGAGTTCATCCAGGGGGCAATCTCTTACTTGCTGAAGGGGTCCGGCAAGGCGACTGCGACAAACTTGGGCGACTGTCTCGACAACTGCCTTTCTTTGCTAGAAAACCAGGAATCTGATGTTACGAAGGAGTTTCCTGAGAAACTCAAGAAAATTGTAAAAAAAGTAAAAACGGGAGAATGGTTTGACCTGCACTGCGTCCTGTGCTATCTTCACGGAAAGGTGCGTTTTTCTGTAGACGGCTGCATGCTTGTTCTTGTATTCGACCGTACTTCGCTGCATTCGTCTGTATCATCTTTTTCTGTCTGTCAGTGCTTCCGTCGTTCCGCGGTCCATCTTGCTCCCTGTCCGTTTTAATTGTTCTGTGTCTCTGAATGAAAAGATTGTGATAAATCACCTTATCATTTCAGGTGCATAGTGAACGCCCTACTCCAGAAATGTGCATTGAAAGGCAAGCTTTAATTCTTCTTAGGCGTATAGTCGAAGCGTATCAAGAGGGAGGTGGAGGAGATGATTGGAGGTTTTGCTTATTAGCAGGCTCTCTATTATCGGATATTGCAATGAACAACATGACGAAAGGTATTCACCCAATCAAAATTGATAAATTTTTAGTCTTATACATATTCGTCTCTGAACGTATTTATACTTACACCATTGTATTTTTTTAATCAAGAATTACGAATCGAGGCCGGAGGCTGTATGATAAATCTTTTGAGGGACAAAAGGCTTCAGAAGAAACCAGAGTGCAGAGTCATCCTCGAAAGTTTGTCGTCTGAAATGCTATTCAATCCCGATCATGTCACAAAGACGCTTTTTGCCGGCCACCTCCTTGAAAATCGAAGTTTACAACAGCCCCTTCCTGAGGACCTCCACGTTCAACATCTTACGAATCGCTACCGAAATCAGACACTAGAAATCAATAAGCCGACAATTAGCCAAGGACAGAAGTATTTTGTCAAGCGTGGTATGTTTCAACGGAATGAAGTGATCGTGAAAATTTGTAATGTCACAAAGCAAGATATCTTGGAGAGTGAATCCCCCGACCATTCAGGAAAGAGAGAAAAGATCATTTCTGAGGCCTACAACTTACGTCGCCTGCGCTGCTTTAATCATCCAAACATTGCTGTTCTACTCGGCTGTAACACCAAGAGTCTGCCTTATCACGTCATCACAGAATTCGAAAAAGAAGGCAACCTGCTTCGCTTCGTTCAAGCTTCACGATGGGACGATGAACTCCTACCGACGCGTATCTTACTTAAGATGCTCCTTGGCGTAATTGAAGCTCTTCTCTTTCTGGAGAATCACGGTCTGGTACATCGCGCTGTGATGGCTGAGAACATCCTCGTGGGAGATGATTGTAGATGTAAGTTAGGTGGCATGCATGCATTACGACAACTTCAAAAAGGATACGCTGAGGAAGGTAAGCCATAACAAACAAATTTATAGTTGATAGTTCTGCGGCTAGTGGTTTGTTCGGCGATCCAAATCACCTATGAAAAGGGTACATTTTCGCTAGGCTTCCTTTTTCTTGAACAAAGCTGAACAAGCAATGCCTAAAATGTGACCTTGGACCATGTTCAAACCAGATTTGAATGTTTTCCACAAAATTTTACAGTGAAGAATGTTCTAATGGAGTAATGTGGTTTTCCACTGAGTTTTTTATTTGAAGAAACCATCCCTCTGCTCAGAATTCCTGAAGATTATCGATGCAAATTTAATAGGAATCTCTCAGTCAATTACTTGCGATATACTATAATTCAACCTAGACTGACTAGGGATAAGTCGCTTTATGACACCGCAGTGAAGCTCCTGAAATAATAGAGTTTAAGCTTCACATTACCAATAGTACGATTAACCTTAAATTTATGAACTTGAAATGACATTTGTAGTTTTTTATTCAGATCGAAATGACGACGAAATGTACGACTACTGTTCGTCCGATGACTGTTGCCTGGATGTTGTATGCCATGATGATGGAGAGGAATCTGTGAGGTGGAAAGCACCAGAGTGTATTTTGAAAAAGAGCTATAGCACTGCCTCTGATGTTTGGGCCTTTGGTGTGCTAATGTACGAGGTTTTCACATATGGATGCCGCCCGTACAGAAACATTCGGAGCGATAAAGATGTTGCTAAACATGTAAATGCTGTGATTTGTGTTAAAAATGAGAAAAGCTCACCTATCAAGTAATAGAGCACACACCGAAGAGATGAAAGCACAGAAGCAGAGGGGAACAGTAGCTAATAGCTCAGGAGGGTTTAGTCATAATTCGCTAGGAACCCTCCCACCGCTTAAACTTCCAAAGTGTTGTACTACCTCAGGACTGCACTCAATCTAGATGAAGCGAAAATATAGACCAGTCACGTTAGTAACAGGAACTTTATTTGGCAGGTTGCATACAATTACGGTGTACCAGCCCGTGAGTCGTGCTTCCAAGATGAAGAATTTACGTTAATGACGCGGTGTTGGGAACGGCACAGATCAAAAAGGATTGCACTTGCCAGTTTAAAAGAAAGATTGGAAAAAGTGCTTGATGTCGCAATGGATCCAGAATCAGGTAATTATTTCTTCTGAATAAACAATTAGTTTCATAGGATCACTGCCGGAGGAAATAAATGGAAACTTAGTTTATTTAGGGATGGAACCATTATTCTTATAAATCAACTGAGTCTGCACAACAGTATCTCATATTCAGGTTTGTATTTTTTTTTTTTTACCAAAAATAAATGTTCCATTTTCATTCCCTTACAGAAGAGAAACCAAGAGATGATCCACCACCGCTGGAGACTTGCATCAATTACGTAAGTGCCCAACCACGATGCTAGTTTTCAAACCATTTTTTGTACACGGAGGGCACATGTCAAGTTATAACTTTGTCTCTGACTCATTCGCAGGGCACAATCGTCCGTACGTTTGTACGCGGTGCGCCTCCTCAAAAGTTTACGCGCTATTTATCATCTTCCTTCCAATGGTCGAGGTCGTACATGAGCAAATTGTTAAGGTCGCATCCAAGGCAGCATAAACCCACTCGATGTGAATTATTCCTTTCAATTAATCTCTGGTAGCATTTATGCAGTAGAAGCCTAGCCCGATACATTTAACATTGGCTTGGCAGAATTTCTCGCGAAAAAGGGAGTAAATAGTGTAACAGTTCTCCCCTCCACGAGAAAGAGAACTTAGCTGACTAGATTATGTTTGAATATGCCTTTGGACCCCCGTTGGCGATTCCCTTAGGTTTGACTATGAAAGGCCAAATTAATAGCTTTGCAAGTGTTCGACCTCAGAGTCAGAAAGGACAATCATCTCAACTGCATTAACATCTAAATATACCGAGGATTACTGATGTGAACCATAAGGACGCTGTCAATGAGCCATAAAACGCGTTTAGATCAATAGGCTGGGGACGAGCGTTTTGAATAAGCACACAAGCCCTTTTTGACGTCCTAAAATAAATTGTTGTGATTTAAAACCTTTATAATGAAACTTCTCTAATCTCACCGAAACTGGTGCGTGCAGTTTGCTAGTTCTCTACAGCTTTAACGAGTCATTACTTTTTCTCTTCAGACATCTTGCCAGTCAGATGAAAAAGGTGATGATGCACCCACAAGATATGATGCCGGAAAGGTTAGTGGGATCTTTTCGAAATTGTCTGAAGAGAAACACTCTTTAAATGTAGCAGATGTGCCTCACACTCGTGACAAAACGGAGAACATCTTTCTTAAGACGAAGTTCAAAGTCAAAATTAACTATCTTGCTCTATAACAAATAGTATTGTGAAAACAGAGTAATGGTATGAAAAACCTATTACTCTTGAAAGAGGAATGGGATTAATGTATTCAGAGTACTCACATTTACATTTATGAATGTATCTCTACACGGTTCTTCTCTAATACATATAATTAATAATAAGTTGTATTAATTGTCAGATAATATTTTTTAAAACCAGTAAATAGCAATGAAAGGAATCTTATTACCATTCTTGGGTAAATAGAAGAGTAAATGAGGAGGTAATGAGTCCTTGCATTCGGTGTTTATATGTGTGACAGTTTAGTTTACGTATGCTTAGAGTGTTGCCTATTTATTAGGATGGTACTTTGGTGATGGAGAAGATTACAAATGCAGACAAAAATCATTTGAGAAGGCTGCTCAAACTGAACACTCCGCCAGATCTTTTTAGGATATTGAGAATAGACAACTTGGATTCTCATCATCCAGTTGTGGAGATGGTAAGTTACACGTGCATGAATTATTAGTTTAGTTTAACCGAGAGAGAGAGCACAAAATTAAGGGATATTCCTCCAAGTGTTAAACGGTTGCATGGCAAATAATAGCTGGACGGCAATAGAAACGATTAACGAGACTCACGTGCATATCCGTGGTGATTGTACCCATAGAATAAGGCATACTTCGGCTCAATCAGAATATCAAATACATTAAAAACTTTAGACTTGTTGTAAGCCTGTTCCTTAAGAAAGTTCGATTTTTATTTCAACTCTTGCAAGGGTCATATTTTAACAATCAAGCGGGCGGAAACAAATTATAGGCTAGAGGCCTATAGGCTGGATATGCAGCTGAGAACTGTACCGTTAGAAGAAGGAATTCTTAGTGCTAAGCCGGATATCAATTACATTAGAACTGATACACATTATAAGTATTCGAATGCCTCCAAACTACGTCCAGAGGCACTTCAAGTAACAAACTTTCATGAATAAAAAATAGTTAATACCATCCCAGAATATCGTGGTCATTACTAGGGGAGGATGCATTCTCTAATTTTCCAAGAATCCCTTTCTTGACAGATATCGCCAGAGGCTCCTTTCGGAAACCTCAAAGATTATGTTCTGAGCAAACAATGCCAGCTTGGTGACATTGTTACGTTCCTATCACAAGTGACCTCTGCTCTGCATTTTCTCCATTCAAATCACATTGTTCATGGAGATCTACGAGCCGAATATGTCAATGTAATAGCTCCGAACAAGGTGAGTGGGGTCTGGTGACAGAAAATCTAAAATAACCAGGGTTACTAGTTTAATCAATTGTTCTGGTAATGTGCTAGTAACGCAACCACGTAGTTTCCAAAAAATTTTAGCAGATATGGAATGAATGTGACACCAATATTTTAAGTGATGTGCAAGTTTGGTTTAGTTTGGTTTTGTTCGCTTGATTTTTGTATTTTTTTCTGTTTAGTTGTTTCTTTGCTATACAAGAAAGCGATAAAATTTCTCAATTTATTACAGGCATTAAAGGGACTGTAATTCTGCAATAGATGTACTCTTGGGTTTTTGGTCGCTTTGCATATTTCATGTTATTTTAATTGTTTTTTCTTTCTTTGCTTGTTTGTTTATTTGTTTGCTAAGGTCAATAAAGAATTTTCTTGATGATGGCAAATAATCAGGCTCTAATTCTAAAGGGGGGAGTTTATAGAGGAACTCCTCACTCGTTTTTTCTTTTATGTGTTGTTTTGTTTTGGTTTTTGGTTGTAATTGTGAACTGCTTCATCCTCTTGTTTGAAATGTACTCCCTTGTGTTGTTTTGTGCCTGTGTTTTTTGGTTTCCTCCACATAAACAGTGAGAAAATTTTTTAAAAAATTTTTTGATACTGCATATTCAGCTATAGTTATCATGAGGTGAATTTAGCAAAAACTAATAAAATGTATCAAGGAATTACTAAAAATGTTAAATTTGAAAACAATGTTGAAAGACTTTGTCTTTTACTCACAAGAGACTTCATGATCCATTCCAGGTTCAAGTAACCCGTTTGGGTCGCTCCTTGCTTTTACCAAAAAGGGCTTACGACAACACTTCTGCCTCATGTGTAGTTCAGCGTAATATGCCACCTGATGCAACCCGCTGGTAAGTAGCTCACAACGAGACAACGAAATAGGTACAAGACATCAAGTCGTACTATGCTGAAAATAAAAATTCAATTTTCAATTCAATTCAATTCAATTTTCAGCGCGCGGTATTCATGAACTGTAGCAAGCAAGTTGGACCAAGTTAAGCATAATAAAGGGATAATAATAATCCGCTATGAATTGAACGTTAAATTCTAAATCTCAGAGGTAACCTCATGCACGAGTGCTCCAGATTCTTTGCGCGAGGCGTTTAACCTGAATAATAAGTTCTTGTCTATTTCATTTTGCACGAGCTTGGCCCTCAGACATTTACAGAGTTGTTTTCGCATCAGAATATTTTGAATTTTAATTGGAAATACATTCTGCTTTGTAGTAAACAGTAGAAACGAAAAAAAAAAACCGTGTTTGATAAAAGTCAGAACCAAAGTAACTCGCGTTATTTTTCGAATTTTTAACAATACAAAAGATAACTTGGTTTCGCCAAAATAATTGCCTGTACAAAGCAAAGTTGCATCGATAAGATTGAGTGTATTTTGCGGTTGCTGCACCAGAATCTTATATACGCCTCACTGAATGACAAAACAACCTTACATGTTTCACTTTCCCTAACATCTTAAGGAAATGCGAACAATGAAAACTTAAAAACCCGCAAAATTGTTTTCTTGTTATTCAAACTGAATTGACTGATGCGAAGTTCACTCGAAAACCTGTTCCGTACTAACAAAATAACCTGACAATTCTGGCGAAACCTCGCACAAGATTTACCTTGATAAGTTTCCTCTCTTTGTCTCCCGTTTTTCATTCAATACTCAGAGAGAAGGAATAGTTATCTAACAAGAAAAATCCTTCACGAATGCTATCACTTGTTGAAAACTTTTTGACAACCCAGGCAACTAGCGTTTTCTATCAGGGGGCTCCCTGGTGGAATCCAGGGTTCGCTTGTCAATCATCAACGGTCATCAATAACATATCTCACTTAATCCGGCAACACAGCGCTGAGTTGTCAATAAATAGAAAATGGAGGTAGATATCAGTTTAGTCGGTTTAAAGTTCAGTTAATTTTGAATTTAAAGAAATAATTTAGGCTAGCCATTTGATTTGTGGGTTTACAGTGCATTTTATTAACTAATTTCGTGCGTGGAAAGTCATTTGAAATTCTGCAAATCTGCCTTTTCGCTATTATTCTTATTTCGAGAGATATTTTATCGATAGCACGTCGACAGCTTCAGCTTATTTGTCACTTACACTCTTTACCTCAACAGGAGCGCACCCGAAGTGATCCAAGACGGCAATTATACTCATGCTAGTGATGTTTGGGCTTTTGCGGTCCTTGGTTGGGAACTGTACACTGCCTTTGCAACAGGCCAGGAGTTTAAGGAATACTCGGTGCCTTACTGTAACCATGCTGCCGAGGAGGTTTGTTTGCTGAAAACTTTACGATCTCACTTAGCTGGTGGATTCGATCAATTTTTTTCTCACTTTGTTGGTGTCTAAATTTAGTTGTCCCTCGCTGGTTATTCTCCAACCTTATGAGCCTCGAAACGGTTAAATGGGAATATGACGTGCCTTAGGAAAAGGTATTTGGATTTCTGGGACTAGAACCAGGATTCAAAATAAAAAAGGGGGAGGGAAGAAGCAGAAAGGAGATTTAGGCAAACTATGAGCTAAAAAGTGTGATTCCAACCCCCCCCCCCCCCCCCCACCCTTCCCCCTTTTCCCTTACAACGAATCACACTATGGGAAAGGCGAAGGCAAAGGCCCAAATATAACGGAAACAGCGTTTAAAGGAGAATTTCAACTTGAAATCGAATTGTATGCATTAAGAATAAGTCTTTAACAAGGCTATCGCTTCAATAAAATTGATATAATTGAGTATCTTCATCTTAGGTTATCCATCAGATCAGAAACGTTGGGCCACTATCACCACCAGACAATTGCCCCGATTGGGTGTATATCGTGATGCATCAATGCTGGGCATTCGACCCGGTACAACGGCCTCCGTTCATCGCCATCTTTGACTGCCTCACTACAAGGTAACCACACAATTACACACGAATGTTTGTAAATCAGTAAGATTTTTGAGAAACGGAAGTTTGACAGTAACTAACTATGTCCCTAAGTTTTCCATTTGAACTGGCTTTAGTTAGAGTCACTCGCCGAGGAGGCATTGGCAAGGTGTGGCTCGGTAAAAGACTTATACCGAAGTATTCCACCAATTTTTCTGACTTCACTTTATATACCAAACTAACTCAATGAATGAAGGAAATCAATGATAACGGGAAAAGATAGATGCCTAATTTGCGAATTATTGGAGTTTTTAGACTTTGAAAGTTGTTTTAAGCCTAAAATAACTGAGAAGGCAACCATTTGGCGATATCAGAAGGCTTTTATTGATAAGTGGGTCTGACCCTGCAAGATTTTTTAATGGATTTTTTTAATTGATTTACCTCTCACAATCAAACATCTCGTTTCTTATAGGCAACCAATGAACTCTTGGCTAATGTCATTGTGGAAAGAGCGCCATGAAAAGAGCGAATGGCCTGATTCATCAATCACTCAGCCTGAAAATGCCTGTCACATCACCAACCAAGACAAGAACTGTCTTAAAGAAATTATAGAGCAGATGTGCAACGACGGTTATAAGCTTTCAGAACACGATTACAGATATGTTCAAGAAAATGCCATCAATCGAGTGGCCGAAGAATTTTATGATGATCTACCAGTGGAAAAGTGCTCCAAAACGTCTTCAGATGTGATAGAGGATGAATGCTATGAAGACATCTCACCCACCAGTCTATCCGACTATGATTTTGAAGGGAAAATGGCAGAGAGTCCAACAGATTCCAACACTTCTTCCACTGAACCTCGGTACCAAAATGTAAAGAATTTCGGTATCAAGAAAATTCCGTATCATACAGAAGAAGAAGAGCTTTATGATGACATCGACAATATCCGTCATCAAAATATAAGTACCGTCAACACCCTAGTGGTAGGTGAGGAGGAACAGGAAGAGGCAGAAACATACGATGACATCTCAGAAGAAGACCAAGAATTCTATGAAGATATTGAAGAACGATCTCGTGATCCTTGCCATGGAGCGTGCGCAAATGAGCCTTCTTCAAAAGATGGTAACTCCCCTTTGAACACCGAGAGTCAAGAGCCTTCTTTTGAAGAGGATATTTACTCAGTAGACGAAGAAACGGACCCAGTAGATCCAGAAGGGGAGGATTTATACGAAGAGATCGATAATCTCAGGCCACCATCGTATGCAAAAGCTTGTAATGAAACAGAACAAGCAAACGTAGACGCGAAAAACGCCAGCTGCCTTCCTCGAGGGGGTATTCCCCGAGGGGGTGTTCCCTCAGTAAACGAGGTGGAATTCCTCTATGAAGAAATAGGAGGAAATCAAACGACAGATTCCGCGGCGTACCAAAGTACCACAGGTCCCCAAGATCATCGCACCACAAACAACCGAGATGAAGCAGGATACAGAGAACTTAGCCAGAGAGAGTCATACATGCAACTGACGCGACCTACAGCAAAGAAACCCAGTCCTGCCTTGAAGAACGCCGCAAAGCTGAACAACCGCAGGTTGCCGCATAAGAGAAAGGAAACAATTAACGATCGACTTCGCAATACTGTTAAGGAACCATAAAATTGTAGAATCAAACATTGAAATTTTTTGTTGAATGACTGACACGATGAAGGTGACCAACAGTCGTAATTAAATTCATAGATAAGTCGAGTTCAAGGAAAGAACTAATCACTGCAGGTGAGCTGCAAGTGAGGAATGTCACTAAAGAAGCCTGAAGATTTCTCGGTTTGTCCGAATTTCGAATCCGTTTCTTTTCAGATTCTAGTTAGTTGCTTCTTCCAGTTGAGCTACTAAACCACAGGTTGGGAACGAGGCAAATTTTATATAAGTTCCTCGTTATCGAAAAGGAATTTGATCGCAATTAAATAAAGTAATTATTTGCTTTTCATTTTTTTTCAATATTTGTTTCTGTCATCCAATTTTTAGAGATAAGTCGGTAACATGGAGGCGTTGAAAAGATAGGTTCTTGTTGCTTGGCAACCAATATTTACACTTTTAAATTCAGAAATGAGTTATTTCTTAGTCTTGTACATAGTGTTGTTTTTTTTAAGGAGAAAGCGTGAGAAACAATAGTTTTGTACTTTTCCAACAATATCAACGAAAACAAAAAAAACCATTTTTTTTGCTCACCACCCGTTGGAAAAAAAAGCTTCAGTTGTAGTCATCAACAAATGGAATAAGCTATTAGTAAAGGCTTTGATACAATCGTTACATTAATATCTATTTCTGACATCCAATTTTTAGAGATAAGTCGGTAACATGGAAGCGTTGAAAAGATAAGTTCTTGTCACTTAGCAACCAATATTTACACTTATGAATTCAGAAATGAATTTTTTTTTTTAGTCTTCTATATAATTTTGATTTATAACGAGAAAGCGTGAGAAACAATATTTTTGTACTTTTTCTACGATAACAAAGAAAACGAAAAAGCACTTTTTTTGCTCACCACCCGTTGGAGAAAAAAGCTTCAGTTGTAGTCAGCAATGAATGGAATAAACTATTGCTGGCTTTGATGCAATCAAATATCCTTCCTATCCTGCAAGCCAGATGTTAATAAATGAATTCCAATTGGGGTTTTCAACTCCTAGAAGGGATGTAGTTAACTTCTCCTGACGGTTTTTGACACATTGTCCTACAAACAGGTGGCGAGAAAATAGAAATGTATCAGCTTTAGGAAGTTATCTTGATAACTTATATTCGTCAGAGCAAATGGACGTAGGGCTAACACTCGAAACGCCAGGTTTTAAACTCTTTACGGTGGCCAATTTACCTTATCAACTTAGTTGATGACACTTAATCACCCTGCTATACTCTCCCACCGATGCAGCACAACAGTTTCTTTGGAAACAGTTACCCCCTTTATTCATGAATACATACGCTTCAACAACACAGGTCACTCAGGCCGTTTATCAACCTCAAATGCATGCAAACATGTCATGAATTATCCAACCTATCTACCACAAATATCAACGACTGTTAGATACCATCTGGCAAAATGATTGATCGATAAGATCTGTGAATTCAGTATAGATTCTAGTGTTCTGTGAGTGTTTTTCTTTTTGCTAGATCAAGCTTTTCTACTAGAAGTCCCATAAAAGAAGTCTCAATAAAGGTACAGCTGTGATGATGAAATATAACATTGTTTGCCGCACTACAAAACAAAGCTAGATCTAAAGTAGCTTCGATTATCTACAACAACTGCTTGTAAAAACTTTGTCTGTAAAGTCTTCTCTTTTGTACAATCAATTTGAAACAAGCCTTAAACCCAAAGTAATTCGGAAATAGGATGGAGATTCTTAAACATTTCTTTAGTCCACTAGAAGAGCAGGCCGTAAACTGCTTGAATGTGAATAATTGTCCAAAGTTCACTCAAAATCTACTCGTGTCAACAATATTGCTGTTTCCTTAATGTACCATGAAATTGTTAGAAATGTTATGGACCTTTTCTAAGTTCAGTTCTTTTCAGCTAAGGCCTTGCATCATTTACGCTGGCTTAATTTTTCCACAATTGCTTCACACTGCTCTTTCCATTTGTATTTCTCATCATAACGCGTCCGCAGATCGATAGCCTCCTGCAATCGCACATCCCTTGATTTTCCTTTTGCCTCGCTGATGGCTTCTTTCCATTTATGGGGTTCATCAGACTTCACCACAAAAGAGCTTCCACCTGAAAGGTCTTTGAGAACTTGGCCTAATCCACTGTTATCACTCACGAGGATTGGGAGGCCGGCTGAGAGGGCTTCGAGGGCTCCAAGACCGAACCCTTCTGTTCGCGAAGGCATAATGGCCAAATCTACCTGAAGGAAAAGTTTGGCCAGCTCATCGCGGCTTTCGTAAAAGGTGCGCACTATCAGCTGGTTGTGGGGGATGCCATAATTAAACAATCTGTCTGCTACTTCTTCTTGCTCCCCATCTGCCGCGCCGACGAACACAAGGCGACAGCTGTCTTTCAAGGCTGCTATAGCCCGTGCGGCAACGTCGTAACCTTTGATTTCAAAATCTTCTTCGTTGCCGCGACCAAATAATAAGATAGAGAATATTTTTCCCTGTCTTTTGGCTTGCTTTAGGTCAGAGAACTCTGTAAAAATGCCTGGTGTGAAGTTAATCACATCTTCATCTCTCTGGTGCGCTTGGAGGCTTCGTTGGATAGAGTCAGTGAGTTTTGGTCCAATGCCCACGATGACATCAGCCGTTTGGCTCAGTTTTACCTCAATTTGGTGCTTTTTCTCACCAGCCCGAATCGGAGCTTTCTGCCTTTTCCTAAACATTGCAAGCTCTTCGCTTGCTGTGTGCACTATATGAACCCGTTGGCATCGTCGCTGTCTCGCCACGGCAAAAGCTGACGGCCCCAGCTTCTGTCCATGACCCACTACAGCGTGAATTTCACAGCTGTCGGGTGGAAATGACAATGAGGAGATGGGGTCAAATCCGGGTATCTCTTCCACCTTGACAAGGTTCACGTTATGCTCTGAAGCTTCTTTCCTTTCCGCCTCAGTAAATCCTAGCACAACCAAGGTCACCGACACATCAGGCAGTTGAGCCAGCCCTTTGCACATCTCCCTGTTTAGAGTAGATAGTCCACCTTTCGATGAGCCCCACTCATCCACCAAAGGGGAAATTTTTAAAACCTGTTGCACATGAAGATAGCGAGATTAACTCTTTAAATCCCAAGATCTCATAAGTAATTCTCCTTACTGTCTGCAAAACGATTCTCATTATGTTAGTTTGGAGAATTTGGTATCTGATTAAATGGTAATCCCATAATTGATATTTTTCTTTATTCTCATCACTTGTCTGCATGATGTTGTACGGATATAGTAGGGAGAAATTCAGTCCAGGTCACTCCCGGGAGTTAAAGGGTTAAAATATTTTATTTTTTAATTAGAACGTGATAATTTAATATCAACTATTCACCGAAGCAGAGGTGGCTTGTGTTGGAAAATAACCGAACCGTGAAGCGGCGAGGTAAACATCCACCGCTAACCACTACATGGAGTTGAATAGTTTTTTTAGTATATACTAATACAGTGAGATAATAGAGCACGAAAAGATGATTTTAATTCATTTATTCCTGTAGCGACTACAATATTTTCGGGTGCAAATTCCACCCGAGTTCCTCGGATGTGAATGGCAAAGGATATTCGAAGTTTGAGTAACTAACCAGAACGCGCACTCGACGCTATCCTCTGTTTTCGTATATTCCTATAAGGGTTGGTTGATTTATAGTATGGGTGGCACTAGGCTTCGACAGATTAATTACGTTTAGCGCAAATATAACGAGAGCTTTTGACAGACTGTTATACGAGTAGCCATATAAATGATAATCCCAATGTCATGGCATAACTTGTACACAGATGAATGAGTACTTCTACTAACACTGGTACACATGAGTTTTCAATGAGTAATAGCTTAAGTCTTCAATACCCTCAACATCATTACATACCTTTGACTCGCTAGACCCGGCAGAAGTCTCAATCATTTTCTTTAAATGGTCAAGCAAAGCCCTAGAAATTAACGAGAAAAGAACATAAACACAACATTACCTCAAGATATTTTATTGACCTCACGGTCAGAAGAAGATGAATACTTAATTGTTTACTTACATCGTCAGGCAGGATTTTAGATCAAAATTCCCATTCGCCATTTCGGTAAATCTAACTTTTATGTGTCTGTGTTGTTTCCTTTAAGCACACAGTGTTACTGATTAAAGCCGATTCTTTTATAGAGCAAGAGTAGAATAAGTGCCAGTTTCGCTGTTTTTACATCCGCTGTTTTGATATTTCAATCTTCGTTGTTCTATGTGGTTCTCGGAAAGCGAGACAGATAAGAGTTGAAATCTAAAGGTTTTACCTAAGGTTGTTTAAAACAGTGCACCTTTTTTTGAACATGTTTGAAAATCATATATCTTTTTCGCTTTCAGAGATTTGAATATGAAAAGATTTGTTTCAGAAATTTAAGCCACGTGATACGGATCTAACACTGAACAATGAACTTGTTTCCGTTTAATTATTCAAGATTAAATGAAGCATTTTTTCCCAGAAATATAGCATGTAAACAATTTTAAACTTTCGGCTACTGCATCATATATTTACAAGAACTAGTTAGGGCGCCAAGATTAGTATCCGTCACGATCAGAATCGCTTTATGAATCCATTTGTTGTTCTGCTGTGCCTATCCATGGATCGAGTGGATCAAAATGTAGCTCCTATCTTAGTGGCATATAAGAGGTCATGTTTGCGCGTTCGCCGATGAAATTGAATTCAGACATATTGTATGTGTGGTTATAATGTTATATTTTCAAGACATATCGCAGAAGTGACTCTTCGTCGATTAAAAAAAAGGGAATTTAGTATTACCAACTGAGTTGATAACTTAAATTGGTCACAGAACAGAGTTTCAAAACTGACGTTTCGAATGTTAGCCCTTCGTCAGAGCGAAGATATAATGCTCTGACGAAGGGCCAGTGCTCGAAGCTTCAGCTTTGAAACTTCTTACGGTGGCCAATTTACGTTATCAACTCAGTTTATAATAATTAGCTACCCTTTTATACTCTACCACCGACGCAGCACCACAGTTTCTTTAGAAACTTACACCCTTTAAAATTTGATCGCCTTCGATTTCCCCATTTGGTCCTTCAGTATGCGAAGGATTAATACTGAAACTTAAGGTTGTTATACCTGATACACGAATTGCTCAAGGCGAGAGTTCACGTTGCTGATCATTGATAAGAGGGAAAACGAAAGAAGGAAAAGAACTTACGGATTCTCTTTCAATTCTTTAACGTCGTAGGCGTCCAGCTTAGAACAAGAATAAAACTCTTCTTCTGTAGTGGTAGTTAGGCGTGAAGTACCACGTGACCTGGCAACGTCAAGATGTCAATAACTACAACAATAGCTATACACCCCAGGTGTGGATAGGGAAGGGGGAGAAGAGAGACCCTGGGAACGAGTTTTTTCTTATATACATTTTTAGATGTATTTATGCATACGTTTTCCACCAGATCGAAAAAAAGCTTCAAATGTAGTCATCAACGAATGGATAAACTATTTCTAAAGGCTTTGATACAATCAAATATCCTCCTTTATGCAAGCCAGATGATATGAAATGAAATCCAATTGGGGTAATATAGTAACCCCTTCACTCCTAGAAGTGATATAGTTAACTTCTCCTCACCGTTTCAACAAATTACTCAGCAAACAGGTGATGAGAAAATAGAAACCTATCAGCTTTAGGAAGTTATCTTGATAAAACACCAAATTGTCCGCACTAATTTTCAAACGTATATGTGTAGGGAGAGTTCAGCACTAATCAGGTATTAAGAGTATAAAAGGGCTAACTAGGAGGGCTCTATAAATATAGGCTTTGGCTGTGCAGAGTTTTCAGCTCGTCGACCAGTCATATTCGCTAAAAAACTCCTCGAGAATTCACTCACCGGCGACTGTTATGAATGTCAACATAGTTACTGATAGAGTCAAACGATCTTTCACAACAACAACAAGGGTGTTGTGTATATTTTTGTACTACATCCATTTTTTGGTTACTTCATCAATACTTCCCAAAATAATAAAGGGGAAAGTTTCTTAAGAAAGGTGGTGTTGCGTCGGTGGGAGAGTATAAAAGGGAAATTTAGTATTATCAACTGAGTTGATAACGTAAATTTGCCACCTTAACGAGTTTAAAAGCTAACGTTTCGAGCGTTAGCCCTTCGTCAGAGCAAATGGACGTAGGGCTAACGCTCGAAACGCCAGGTTTTAAACTCATTACGGTGGCCAATTTACGTTATCAACTCAGTTGATGACAATAAATTTCCCTGCTATACTCTCCCACCGACGCAGCACAACAGTTTCTTTAAAAACAGTTACCCCCTTTATTCATTAATACATACGCTTCTGCAGCACAGGTCACTCAGACCATTTATGAACCTCAAATGCATGCAAACATATCCTGAATTATCCAACTTATGACTGCCACAAATATCGACGACTGTTAGGTACCATCTGGCAAAATGATAGATTGATAATATCTGTGAATTCAGTATAGATTCTAGTGTTCTGTGAATGTTTTTCTTTTTACCAGATCAAGCTTTTCCACTAGAAGTCCCATAAAAGAAGTCTCAATAAAGGTACAGCTGTGATAATGAAATAGAACAATATTTGCCGCGCTACAAAACAAAGCTAGATCTAAAATAGCTTTGATTACCTACGACAACTGCTTGTGAAAACTTTGTCTAAAAAAAGTCTTCTCTTTTGTACAATCAATTTATCCGAAATATAACAGAACGAAACAAGCCTTAAACCCAAAGTAATTCGGAAATAGGATGGACATTCTTAAACATTTCTTTGGTCCACTGAAACAGCAGGCCTTAAACTGCTTGAGTGTGAATAATTGTCCGAAGTTCACTCAAAGTTTACTCATGTCAACAATATTGTTGTTTCCGTAATGTATCATGAAATTGTTAGAAATGTCATGGACTTTTTCTTTTCAGTTTAGGCCTTACATCATTTACGCTGGCGTAATTTTTCCACAATTGCCTCACACTGCTCTTGCCATTTGTACTTCTCATCATAACGCGTCCGCAGATCGATAGCCTCCCGCAATCGCAAATCCCTTGATTTTCTTCCCGCCTGTCTGATGGCTTCTTTCCATTTATCGGGGTCATCAGACTGCACCACAAAAGAACTTCCCATCGGAAGGTCGCTGAGAACTTCGCCTAATCCACTGTTATCACTCACGAGGATTGGGAGGCCGGCTGAAAGGGCTTCGAGGGCTCCGAGGCCAAATCCTTCTGTTCGCGAAGGCATAATGGCCAAATCTGCCTGAAGGAAAAGGTCGGCCAGCTCAAGGCGGCTTTCGTAAAAGGTGCGCACTTTCAGCTGTCTGCGGAGGATGCCACAATCAAGCAATCTCTTTGCTACTTCCTGTTCCTCCCCATCTGCCGCGCCGACGAACACGAGTTCACAGTCGTCTTCCAAGGCTGCTATAGCCCGTGCGGCAACGTCGTACCCTTTGACTTCAAAATCTTCTTCGTCACCGCGACCAAATAATAAGATAGAGAATCTTTTTCCCTGCCTTTTGGCTTGCTTTAGGTCAGAGAACTCCGTAAAAATACCTGGTATGAAGTTAATCACATCTTCATCTCTCTGGTACGGTTGGAGGCTTCGTTGGATGTAGTCAGTGAGTTTTGGTCCAATACCCACGATGACATCAGCCGCTCGGCTCAGTTTTACCTCAATTTGATGCTTTTCCTCACCAGCCCGAATCGGTGCTTTCTTCCCTTTCTTAAACATTGCAAGCTCTTCGCTTGCTGTGTGCACTATATGAACCCGTTGACATCGCCGCTGTTTCGCCACGGCAAAAGCTGGCGGCCCCAGCTTCTGTCCATGACCCACTACTGCGTCAATTTCACAGCTGTCGGGTGGAAATGACAATGAGGAGATGGGGTCAAATCCGGGTATCTCTTCCACCTTGACAAGGTTCACTTTAAATTTTGAAGCGTTATCCTTTTCCTTTTCAGTGTACTCCAGCACAACCAAGGTCACCGACACATCAGGCAGTTGAGCCAGCCCTTTGCACATCTCCCTGTTTAGAGTAGATAGTCCACCTTTCGATGAGCCCCACTCATCCGCCAAAGGGGAAATTTTTAAAACCTGTTGCACATGAAGATATCGAGATTAAAATATTTCTGTTTCTAATTAGAACGTGATAATTATCAACTATTCCCCGAAGCAGAGGTGGCTTGTGGTGGAAAAGAACCGAGCCGTGAAGCGGCGAGGTAAATATCCACCGCTAGCCTCCAAAAAATACTAATACAGGGAGATAATAGTGCACGAAAATATGATTTAAATTCATTTATTCCTGTAGCGACTATAATATGTTCGGGTGCGAATTCCGTCCGAGTTCCTCGGATGTGAATAGCAAAGGATGTTAGAAGTTTGAGTAGCCAACCAGAACGTGCATTCGACGCTATCCTCTGTTTTCGTACATTCCTATAAGGGTTGGTTGATTTATAGTATGGGTGGCACTAAACTTCGACAGATTAATTACGCTTAGCGCAAATATGACGAGAGTTTTTGACAGACTGTTATACGGTTAGCTATATAAATGATAGTTCCACTGTCATGGCTTAGCTTGTACACAGATGAATGAGCACTTCTATGACACTGATACAAATGAGTTTTCAATGAGTAATAGTTTAAGTCTTCTATACCCTTAACATGATTACATACCTGTGGCTCGCTGATCCCGCCCGGAATCTCAGTCATTTTCCTTAAGTGGTCAAGCAAAGCCCCAGAAATTAAAAAGCAAATACGTAAGCACAACACTATCTCAAGGTATATTTTTGACCTCACGGTCAGGAGAAGATGAATACTGAATTGTTTACATACATCGTCAGGCAGGATTTTAGACTAAAATTCCCATCCGCCCTTTAGGTAAATGTGACTTTCATTTGTCTGTGTTGTCTTTTTTTTAAGCACACATTGTCATTGATTAAAGCCGATTCTATTAAAGAGCAAGTGTATAATAAGTGCCGGTCGCAAAGCCCTACATGAGTACGACTTTGTTTCGCTGTTTTTACATCCGCTGTTTTAATATTTCAATCTTCGTTGTTCTAAGTGGTTCTCGGAAAGCGAGACAATTAAAAAAATGAAATTTAAAGGTTTTACCTCAAACTGTTTAAAATACAGATTTGAATATTAAAAGATTTGTTTCAGAAATTTAAGCCACGCGTGACGGATCTAACTGAACAGTGACCTTATTTCCGTTTTATTATTCAAGATTACATGAAGCATTTTTTCTCAGAAATATAGCATGTAAACAATTTCAAACTTTTGGCTACTGCATCATATATTTATAAGAAATGGCTAAGGCGCCGAGATTAGGATACATCATGATCAGAATCGCTTTATGAATCCATTTGTTGGTTTTCTGTGCCATGGGGAATGAGTGGATCAAAATATAACTCCTGTCTTAGTGGCACATAGGAGGTCATGTCTGCGCGTTCGCCGATGAAATTGAATTCAGACCTATTGCATATGTGATTATAATGTTATGTTTTCAAGACATATCGTAAAAGTGACTCTTCGTCCGTTAAAAAATTGTAATTTAGTATTATTAACTGAGTTGATAACGTAAATTGGCCACAGTAAAGAGTATCAAAGCTGACGTTTCGAGCGTCAGCCCTTCGTCGGAGCAAAGAGATAACGTCCTGACGAAGGGCCAGCGCTCGAAGCTTCAGCTTTAAAACTCTTTACGGCGGTCAATTTGCGTTATCAACTCAGTTCATAATGCTAAATTACCCTTTAATACTCTCCCACCGTCGCAGCACCACCGTTTCTTTACAAACTTACTGCCTGTAAAATTTTGATCGACTTCGATTTCCCCATTTGGTCCTTTAGTATGCGAAGGATTAATACGGAAACTTAAGGTTGTTATACCTGAGACACGAATTGCTCTAGGCGAGAGTTTACGTTGCTGATCATTGATAAGAGGGAAAACGAAAGAAGGAAAAGAACTTACGGATTCTCTTTCAATTCTTTAACGTCGTAGGCGTCCAGCTTAGAACAAGAATAAAACTCTTCTTCTGTAATGTTAGTTAGGAGTCAGGTACCGCGTGACCTGGCAACGTCAAGATTTCAATAACTACACTATGCACCCCAGGTGTGGGTAGGGAGGGGGGAGAAGAGAGACCCTGGGAACGAGTTTGGATGTGCATACGTTTTCCACCTGATGGATAAAAAGCTTCAATTGTAGTCATCAATGAATGGATAAACTATTTCTAAAGGCTTTAATACAATCAAATATCCTCCTTTATGCAAGCTAGATGATATAAAATGAAATCCAATTGGGGTAATATAGTAACCCTTTCACTCCTA